TGCCACAATAACTCCAGAAGAGAATAGAGAGAATTCAACAATCTGAGTTCAAATGTTGGCTCTGGCACTTATTATCTATAAGATCATATGGAATTTTTCTAACTTCTCTGAACATTACTTTCCCATCTGTCGAATGGGGCTCTTAATTAATACTCCAGATCCTAGCTCTGCACCTACAAACCAATCATAAGTTATCAGTCTTCTCTACTATACTGGTTAAGAAAGGGGGGGGGGATAAATAAATCTCACATACCCACATGGTTCAAAAGCACTACCCTCCACTAATGGGGGGGATGATGGCAATTTCGTCTCCTGATTGAAGTACGAGGAGTTGATCTCCAAGTTCGACATATTCTTGACGAACAGCAAATATCACCTGATTTCTGACATCAGCCAATCTAAAGAAAAGAAAAGTGTGATCTGAGGTAGCCATACTGCAACTGGCTCTAAATCTTTTCTAATAAACTTAAAGATATGAAATAAACTTTAATCTGTAAACTTCAAATGCAAGTTTACTACTCATGTTCTCTAGCGAAAGGGCATAGCCACTAACAACTGCATTAAATAGCAAATGGTATTTTAAAGGACCCTGTGTGTCCTACAGGTAAAAAGTGAGAGGTAAAATGGAATAAAAGCACTGACATGTTTTATTGATTACCAAGGCACTTTAAAAACAACTTAAAAGATAGGGAATTTAAAAAAAAGATAGGGAATCAAGGAAGGGTGCTTTCCTTTTGAACATACACTGTGGGGTTACCACTCACATAGCCCAGTACTTCTGGTCAAATACCGATACAGATTTTCATGGCACTATTAATATATGTGTATGTTTTAAGGGAGCTCTAGGAGTACAGTGAATCTGGAGTTGTGCTTCTTACCCAAAGGCCACGCCTCTTTGCTAGTTCAAATCTATCAGTAGCTCTGGGGAAGAAAGATTAGTAATCTCTTCCCATATGATTTACAGATTAAAAAGAATCAACTAGAGGGTCAGTTATGAGTTGGTTCCAACTCAATGAGTTAAGAGTTAACATTTCTGGAGTGCTTCTATAAAATTCAACTTCCATGCTTTTTCCAGAAAATGTCAAGGTAGGAATGACTGCATTGAAATCATAGATTTTTGACAACCAGAAAAAAGAAAATAGTGCAAAAATCAACTTTACCAGCATTAGAATTTGTTATCCTTCTTTTTTAAAACAGAAATTTCTATTTTGTTCTCTTTGAAAAAGAGGTAACAAAAAAATTAAAGCACACATTCCTAAAAGAATTTGTAGTAATTTCATTTAATATCATACAAGCACAGACGTTTATAGTTTTTAGAATTTTGTCAATTACAAAAGCAGATGCTTTCATGTTCCTCTGGGAGGAGGCCAGCTCCATAAGATTTTTTTCAAGGAAAATAATTTTCGTTTTCTTTGATGATGTGTGCATTTCTAGTTGACAGAATCTAGGTTTTCAGTTGTATTACAGTTCAAAGAAATATAATGACTCTTCTTGACATCGTTGTTGTTGTGTACCACCAAGTTAGAACTGACCCACAGCTAACCCTCTAATGGGTTTCCATACACTGTTCATCAAATGGGAGGAGACTTCCCGTCTCTCTCCCCAGGAGCAGATGGTGGATTTGAACCACATACCTCTATCTCTTTTCTCCCTCATCAATTTACATATTTTAAAAAAATATTAAAAAGTGTTAATCATATGCATTCTATAAACTTTTACCTACCCAGGATGTCGACTTTCTATCTCCTTCCACAGCTGCAAGGCTTTTATTTGTTGTGGCACAGAAATGGTCTCTGACCGAACTCCTGTTATTTCAGCACTTTTTGCAAAATATAGCACTTCAACCTGAAAAGACACAGTGAGAAAATATTTACCCTAACAACTCCTCATTCTTTTCTGTTTACTTTAAGATGTTTTCTTAATTTTCAATCATATTGTTCCTATCAAAACCAAATTTTTATGTTAAACAAAATTAACAATTCTTTTCAAAAGCCAACATACCTATTGTGTGGTCTAGTAGATTCAGACACACTGGAACCCAAAAAGTACATATATATACCTTTTTGGGGAATATATTTCCTATGAAACCATTTGGCAGTTGGAATCTCTGATCTTCTGGTCAACAGCAGAGTACCTAACACTGAATGACTCGGGCTCCTTTCTACATAAGCTCAAATTTTGTGTAAGTTTTTAATGTCTCAAACATAATCGGACTCATTCATGATGTCTTTGTTGTTGTGTGCCACCAAGTCGGAAGTGACTCATAGCTGACTCTCTAGCAGGTTTTCAGAGGCATTAAATCACACAAGACTGTCTATTCTCTGCCCTCAGAAGAGCTAGTGGATTCTAGTTTTTCACTGCTGGTTTTACAAATTTGTTGTATCCTAAGCCAAAACCTAAGGATATCTACTTGGAAAGTCTGTTATGTTTGTCTTTAATTTCATAAAACTATTAAAAACAAAACCACTGCCCACAAATCCAGTTCAACTCATGTTGTAGTTGTTTTGTGCCTTCAATTCAAAACCACCCTATGCATAATAGCTCATAACTCTGCCCTATCTTGAGCCAATCTCATTTTCTCCAACACATCTACTCCCATTACCCCAGTTACTAAATCAACCCACCTCACCCAGGGTCTTCCTCTCTTGCGCTGTCCCTCCATCTTTCCAAGCATGTCCTTCTCCAAGGACTTGGTCCCTCCTTGCAATATGTCCCAAGTATTTCCATTTCAGACTGAGCTTTAAAATCCATCTCTCCAAAGAGTAGCCTGGTTTCACCCTCTCCAGGACAGACTTGTTTGTTCTCCTGGCAGTCCATGGTATGTTCAATACTCTTCTCCAGCACCACAGCTTAAACTCATAGCAACCCCTATAAGACAGAGTAGAACTGCCATGTCAGGTTTCTAAGGCTGTAAACCAAAATACTATCACATCTCTCTCCCACCAAGTGTGTGTTTAAACCCACAACCTCTCTGTGAACAGAAAAATACTTGACCACCGTTCCACCAGGCATATTCTTAAAAAAAATTCTAACCCCTTTTCTGAATTCTTCTGAAATGGAAGAGCAAATGTCTAAGTTAAAAGGTGAATTCCAAAGAAAATAAATGACCAAAGAAGTGAAGGAGCTCTTTAATGGCTGTCAAATGACCTTTGATTCCGGTCTCCATTACGGTGGACCCTGCAACTGCGGACGAAGTTATGCAACATCCGTAACTTGCCATTTCTAAAAGGAGGTGGCTTTGAAATACAGGATAAACCGGTCATTCTTAGGACCGACCTAAGCAAACAGCCTAGACTCTAAGCGATCTGCCCAAGCAGAATATCCATTCAGTGCTAATTAATTACTCTATTGGAAGTCAGAGGTTTGCGAAAGTACACATGAATATGTTTCACAAGATTTCAAATGACTAAGCTAGGAAATCGGGGCCCGAAAAGGTCTAGGGCGTCTTTGGAAATTGAGCCTGTTAGCGACACAGACACCAAGCCTCACGCAGGGAGCATAACCTCTTTCTGCAGCGACACAGCTCGGTCCCCGAAGCCAGGAGGGGGCACTAACACACAGGTACGACGCCGGACAGAGCCGGACACCGGCCAAGTGCACTTGAACCGGAGGCCAGGATTGCGGACGGAAAAGGGAGACACGTCCGCGTGGACTCGGCGCCCAGGTCCGCCCGCACACCTGCCGTCCTTACCTGGCACCGAGGCACCATCCCGCAGGAAGCGCAGCCCAAGACTCCGAGGTGGAGCCGCACAGCGGAGCCAACGCAGCACGCAGGCGCGCCTTCCGGCCAGCGGCTCCCGTGGAGCATGCGCAGAGCCTGCTCCGCCCCGCCAGACGTGGTGTGGTTGTTTTCACTGTTTCTGCGTTGTAGGGGAGCTAGCTGAAAGCAGAGAATACAGGAAAAATGTGTATATGTGCTTTATTGACTGCAAAGGCATTTGATTGTGTGGCTCATAGCAAGTTATGACTAACATTGAAAAGAATGGAAATCCTAGGACACTTGATCACGATCGTATGAAAACCTACATGTAGACCAAGAAGCTTGTGTCCACAGAGCAAAGGAGCACATGATTTAAAATTAAGTGGCGAAGCGTAGCAGCATTATTCACCATTGCAAGAACATGGAAACAGCCCAAGTGTCCAATTACAAACGAATGGATTAAGAAATTGTGGTACATTCACACAATGGAAAAATATGAGCAATAACTTTGTAAATTATTACCTAACTTGGGAGGCACAGGAAAGCATTATGCTGAGTGAAATAACTCAGTTCTAAATGGATAAATATTGTACAAAACCATTACTGTAGAATGAGTATAAGGATCTGTGAGGGGTTGGAGAGGCAGAGGAATGTGGATGTGCAGGGGGAAAGAGGTATTATTAATCATTGGGTTGTACAATTTGATGGGGGGGGTGAGGGAAATAGAAAGAATTTGTTCAAATTTGTATTCTAATTTTGTAAATAAACTAGTAGAGGGAGAAAAACCACACAGAATAAAAATTAAGAAAAGTGTACATCAATGCTGTATCTTTTCTCCATACCTATTCAGTCTGTACTGAGCAAATTATTCGAGAAGTTGGACTCACTGAAGTAGAATTTGGCATCAGGATCTGAGGAAGACTCATCAACAACCTGTATTATGTAGATGGCACAAGCTGACTTGCTGAAAATTGGGAGACTTGATATTCTTACTGCAGAAGGTCTAGGACTACAACTTTTAATATGAATTTCATCTCAACATAAAGACAAAAATCCTCAATCCTCACCATTGTACAAATAAGCAATATCATATTAGTTGGAGAAAAGATTAAAAGTTTCAATGATTTCTTCTTATTTGAATCCACAATAGACATTCTTTGTACCAGCAGTCAGAAGATCAGGAGACTACTGCACTGGGAGCAACAATGTACGTTTGAGGACCTAGATGCACCTAATTAAAGTCATTGTCTTTTCAATCACTTGCACCTAAGAGATGGACAATGAGTAAGGCTGACAGAAGAAGAATTGATGCCTTTGAGTTGTGGTATTTGAGAAGAGTACTGAATATTCCATGGACTGCCAGAAGAACAAATCTGTCTTAGAGAAAGTCCAATTAGAATGCTTCTTAGAGGCAAAGACGGCAAAGTTTCTTCTCACGTAATTTGAGCATGTTGCTAGGAGAGGGGCATCATGCTTTGAAAGGTGGAGGGTTAATAAAAGAGGGGAAGACCTTTGACAAGATGAATTAAGACAGGGCCTCAAGTGTGTCAGGGATAATGAGGAAGGCACCGGATAGGACAGGGTTCATATCTGTGGTTCATATGGTTGCTGTGAGTTGTACTTGTCTTGATGGCACATAACAGCAACAACAGCAATGGTGGGTTAGTGGTAAGGAATTGCCTATTGCCAAAAGAAACATGGTTCGAATCTGCCAGGTGCTCCACTGGAAAAAGAGAAATAATCCTATTCTTTGTGTTTTACTGCCTCTGAAAACTCTCTGAAGCTATGCATTGGTTTCTATTTGATACATCATGTTGTTTGTTGTTGTTATGTGCCATTGAGTCGTTTGCGACTCATAGCGACCCTATGTACGACAGCCCTAAACCCTGCTCTATCCTGTGCCAATCGCACTGTCTCTGACACACACATCCCAATTACCCCAGTCACTGAATCAATCCACCTCATAGAGGGTCTTCCCCTCCTGCGCTGTCCCTCCACCCTCCCAAGCATGATGACCCTCTCCAAGGTCCTGTCCCTCCTTGCAACATGCCCAAAGTATGTCAGACGAAGCCCCAGAATCTTTGCCTCCAAGGAGTTGCTTGGTTTAATCCTCTCCAGGATGAATCTGTTTGTTTTCTTGGCAGTCCATGGTACATTCAATACTCTTCTCCAGCACCACAGCTCAAAGGCATCAATTCTCCTTCTGTCCTCCCTAGTCATTGTCCAACTCTCTGATGCATAACAAGTGATTGCAAAGACTGTGGCCTGTATCAGGCGCGCCTTAGTCTCCAGAGAGACACCGTTGCTCTTGAGTACTTTAGAGAGGTCCCTAACAGCAGACTTTCCTATCGCAATAAGCTTTTTTATTTCCTGACTGCTGGTGCCAAGAGTGTTGACCATGGAGCTGAGCAAACTGAAGCTGTGAACAATCTCAATCTCTTCACCATCCATCCTGATGCTACCAGTGGTAGCATCCAGTTGGTCCAGTGGTGAGAATCTTTGTCTTCTTGGCATTGAGCCTCAGTCCATAATGAAGGCTGCAGTCCTTGACCCTCTGCAGCAAGTGCATGAGGTCCTCCTCAGTTTCAGCAAGCAAGGTTGTGTCATCTGCATAACGCAGATTGTTAATTGATACATCATAACATTGCATTATTGTGGTATGTGTAGTCCTGTTAGCAAAAAGGTTGGAAGCTTGAGTCTATGAGCAGTTTTGTGGGAGACAACCAGTCAGTCTCTTCCATAAAGATTTACTTACTGTATCAAAAACTCACAGAGAGTCAGTGTAACTGGGAATCCATCCATGGGTTTGTTTTGTTTTGTTTTTAAATTATTATTAAATTTTATTAGTTTCAATGACCTTTTACAGAGATTTTGGGTTTTCATTCATTCATTGTTGCACTGTTTTCTCTACCCTCCTTCCCAGTTTGTTCTTCTTCCCTCCATCCCCGAATGTCTGTTTTAATTGTCATGGGTTGTTTTTATGGTGGATGCTTTCCACCTTGTTTTTCACTTCTATGTGAGACGCTCTGACAATCGTCAGATACATATGCCACTGAATTTAAAAAGACTGACCATAAATTTCTTCAACTTTATGTAGGAGAGGCAATTCTTAGGAAAATGATATCTTACTTGGAAAGACAGTTTCTGCAAAAGAGAAGTAGACCTTCAATCAGATGAATTGATACAGCAACTACAGAAACTGACTCAAGTGTGTCAGAGATTAGGACAGGGTTCAGATCTGTTTTTCACAGGGTCACTACGAGTTGTACTCAACTCAATGGCACCTAAAAACAACAACAACAATGCATGCCTTCTGTTTGGGAAGGAGGTTGTGGTTTAGGAGAACCAGACTCAACTGATCAGTTCGACCTGCACTGTGGAGGTTCAGCTACTAAGTCAGCAGTCCAGTGGGGGAATGGAGAAATGCTGGCTTTCTAACAGAATAATGGCTCTCTGATCCTTAATGATTATATCCTGTAAAATGCTACAGGGCACCTCTACTCATTATATGCAGTTAATGTGAGGAGGAATCAATCTCACAGGCACCGAACAAAAATCAGACCGAAAACTGTGGCTTTCCCATGGTCATCATTGGGTTTCAATTTGACAGTTGTCTACCATAATCTGGTATGTTAGTATTTCTGAAAGAATTAAAGGAACATTTGGTTTTTTGAGATTTGTCCATATCTAACATTTCTTCAGAATCCTAGTTCTGGAAGCTAAGAGTTTTAAGCTCTGTCTCACATACTTTGGCCTTGGAGAAAGACATAATTTTTGGAAAGGTGGAGGGACAGCACAGGAAAGGAAGACCCTGGAGGAGATGGATTGACACAGTGACGGTGGCAGTGGGGTCAGGTGTGTCAGAGATGGTGAGGTTGGCTCAGGAGAAAGCTGGGTTCCTAGCCCTTTTTTTTCATAGGGTCGCTATGAGTCATGGTCCAATCAGTGGCAAATAACAACAGCAATAACAACCCATTGTTGCAGTCATTGTGTTAATTCATCCTGTGAGGGTCTTCTCTTTCTCTAAACCTCCGCTTTTCTCAGCATGGTTCAGTGGAGTGTCAAGGGAAAGAAGATAGCTTTTTTAAAAAAAATGTGGGTTTTTCATTTCCATTGTGTTTCATATGATCATTCCCATCTTTTGTGTCTTATAAAATTAATCACCACTGATCTATGGCCATTATTATCCCATCTTTTCAGATCCCTACTGGATCTTTCCTAATCCTTTCTTCTCCTCCCTCCGCCTTAAAGCTAGAAAAAAGTGTCTTGTCAAATCTGTCTCTCATTAACTGTATTCTAAGATCTCTCAGTTCGGATGGCAGAGGAAAACCATACCTCAATATTTCAATCCTACAAAAGCTATGATGTGAATAACAAATATTAAAAACCAGAGAGACACACATACAGCCCCTAAGAGATTTAAGAGCCAAAAAACAAACAAAGCTTTTCGCGGGAGCATAGTGTGGCCTCTAAAGAGCTGCTGATACTGACTTTATAGAAGAAGAAAAAAAATTCATCCAAGGGAAATTGATGAAGTGGAAATATCCACAGACAGACATAGAAGACCAGTCGCACTCATCTTTCACATACCTTTTAGTCTTTTGGAATGTGGAAATGACCAACGCTTGCTATATATGGCAAGAACACACATTAAACCGCCACTCCTTAGTGTAGAAGGTTCCAGGAGTCCAAATTGAACTAGAAATCAAGATAATTGAAAGCAAACATTCCTTTGAAGAAGATATTCCTGGCATTACAAAGGGGTCAGAGGGAAGAAGATACTCCTGGGTTATGAAGTAAATGTAAGCCAAAGGCATTTGCAGGAAACCAGGGGGTGGAAACTTAGGCCTGAGACACTGGATATAATCCTAAAGGAGACCAGGGAATGGAGACATACAGATTTAGCTGAGAAAAACGTCCTTTAAAGGTGTTTTTATCCCCTCCATGTCCTCAGACTATAAATCAGGTTTCTTTCAATGTACTTCAGAGGTAGAAAAATGTTCTTTGTAAAAGA